ACCAGCCCCTCACTGCTGGCCTCTGCCGGCTCGTGGCCAGGTAGGACAGCAGACGTACCCGGCTCTGCTAGCGCTTGGGTCAGATCCACACGGGGCTTTCTGGACGAGGTACGAAGACAGACGCTGTGAGCTCCGAGTTAGGGGAGTCCAGACAAACCCTGATGTTTTCTCTTCCAGGAACAGAAAGACGATTGAAAAGGTGTTGGACGTAGACTTTGCGATAAAGGTATTTTTCAACCGTCCCCCTTACCTAGTGTCAGTCTCCTGTCTTCTACTCTCACAGCCTACCGTACCTCCCCCACACAGGCTCGCACAATCCGCCAGCTGGATGAGCGCTACACAGCTGTGGCTTTTGGGTATAAAGACTGTGCGGCCTATTACCAAGCCTCAAGCCCAAGAACCAAGGTAGATGCCATCCACACCCCCGTTCTTTGCCTCAATGCAGCAGACGACCCCTTCTCCCCAGCACATGGTGAGTGGCTTCCACAATGACCCCAAGGCTAGTGCACCACAGATGCGGGTTGTAACTGAGGTATGAGCCCCGGTTCTCACTACAGGGCAGCTTCCTGACCTCTCTGACTCCCCCGCAGCCCTCCCTCTGCAGGCCGCTCAGAAGTCTGCCTGTGTCGCACTGCTCATCACAGCTCGGGGCGGCCACATTGGCTTCCTGGAAGGGCTGCTACCCCAGCGACACTGCTACATGGACCGTGTTCTACACCAGTATGCCCGAGCCGTCTTCCAGCACTCGGTGGAGCTGCCTGGCCTCGCTCCTGAAGAAGAAAAGAGCTGACAGAGAGCTGTGTGGGGGTCTTGGTTCAATCTTTCTTTGTTTATTAAATATCAACTCTTCCTGCCTAATGAGCTGAGGGTCACTTTCCCTTCTCCTCAGGCTGGAGTAGAGCATCCAGGAGCTTCCTGTGTGGGTGGCCTGGCTGGCTTGGTGCTACCCACCTGAGCCCACAGACCCCTGCTCCCTGAGTCTTCCTTTGCCTCTTCCTGCCCTAACAGCAAGTGCCAGCCCAGACTGTCTCAGCCAAAGCCCGGGACCTCGTGTCATGGCTGTAAGGGGAGGAAGAGAGACGGTTTCTGTAAGAAGGATCGCAATGCCTCCAGACTCCTGGGCATCTTCACATATTTCTAGAGAAGGAAGAGCTCGACTCTGGAGCCTTGGGAGGCAGAGGGAACGAGGCAGGTAGTGTGCCCTGGGCTTCAGACCACACTGTCCTAAATGGATCCACAGGCGATGAGTGCAGAGTTCCCAAGACCCAGAGTGATGCGGGGCCACAGGCAAGCTTTAGCTGAGGGACAGGCAGTCCCCATCAGTCTCGTCGGAGGCAGCCTCAGCTGTGGACCTCAGTGATTCTGCTCTGGGAGGCGGCAGTGTCCAAGCCTGATTCCCACCGGTCAGCGAGGCTAAAGGAAACCTGGAAAGGCACTCTGGAGCAGCAGGATGGTCACAATAATAAGGCCGACACACATCAGGAGCAGTAGCCACACAGGAACACTCCCTGAGGGTGGGACAGGGGGAGAAGTGAGCTGGCAGAGGAGCCTCAGGGCCGCTCCAAGACCAGAGCCCTTAACCCCTTCCATTCAAGCAGGGGCAGATGGGTGGCTACCAACAGTCCATCTTCCAGGGGTTAATCTCTGCTATACTAAAGATGAAGCGGCAACCCCCGACACACACAACCCGACAGTGACTCACGCCGTGAGGGCAGCAGATGCAACTGACAGCGACTATCCACAGCCACAGAGAAAAGAGCCGTTTCATGGGGCCCAAGAAGCTCTGGACCGCAGCCCTTCTCGGGTAGAAAGGCCACATCTGTCACCACAATGCCATGGGCCTCCTTCACATAATAGAGGCGCTGGAGGAGGAGAGAACAAGCGAGGGGGGCCTGGTTGGAGGCTCCCTTGGGGGACACACGTTCCACAGCCCCAGCAGGCCTCCCCTATGGACTGGGCCAGACTCCTTCCGGCACACTCAGGTAGAGTAAGCCTGTAGCCCTCCTGCAAGTAAGGCTGTGCCGACCTCTACCCATTACCTGGAGAGAGAAAGCTATGTAGATGACGACAGAACCAGTGACCGTGCCTAGGCCTAGGAAGGTACCCGATTCACTGTAACACACAACAAAGTATTCATTGTTCTAGAAGCTTGGGCAGAAACCCCCTCACCCAACAGTGGGTCCCTCAGGAGGCTAAGGCAGGGTTCGCTCCCGAGCTCCCTCAGGCACCCTCCTTCCCGGCTGAGCGGCAACATCTCACACCTGACACTGAGGCAGGAGATGACTTCATGGCCACAGGACCTGGTCCGAAGCGGCAAGAAGGAGGAACTGTCCCAGGCTGTGAGGTAGCAGGGCGGGGGCTGACGCAGGCGCTTGTGGGGGATCTGCACTGTGAAGAGTCGCAGCCCGCCAGGCTGATCTGGAACCTGCCCAAATCTGGAAGCCCGGCAGAAGGCTGTTCAGTTCCCGCTAGCCCTCGGGTTTGTGCGTTCTTGTACCCTGGTCACGCCTGAGACCACCTCCAACAGGGCTACAGTCATCCCCAGCCCCCTCCGGTCTCTGCCCACTTCCCCAGGACAGCTGCCCGTGCCTCTTTTGGCTGCCCCCCCCGTCCCCCGCCCCCCCCCCCCCCCGTGGTCTTCACACCTGCAGGCCTGGTAGCGGTATGGCGTGCTAGAAGAGGTGGGTCCATTCTCTTGCCAATGCAGCTGCGTCACTAATTGACCTTTCTGCCACACGGAGGCCTTCAGGTCCCAGCCCACAGTGACCAGCTGGGCAGGGGTAAAGATTCCAAAGATGGACAGTTAGGACATCTACTTTACTAGGCAAGCAGTGTAAGAGCCCCGCCCCCCCTTTTCTGCACTAGTATCCCACACCCCCACCTCCTTACCTTGCCATCAGGACCCAACGCCAAATCTCCAATCTCCCCTTCATGTGCTTTGAAATCCAGAACTTTCTCCAGGCTGGGTACCTACAGCCAAGCCAGTATCACGGTTCAGACCGGACATAGCAAGAACACTATCATCCCCCTCTCTCGCATCCTAATGGCCACTCACAAGCTTCCCAGGATGCATATTCGGAGTCTCACGACTCTGGTGGTGTTACTGCAGCTGACATTCACCTCGATTAAGCCCCTAAAACCATACCTTCCAAACACGGACGTGGCCATCGGTCCCTCCCGTGGCGAGCAGGGTACTGTCGTGGTTGAAGCGCACAACCTTCTGCAGGGGTTCAGTGCTGAAGTCTGTCTGTACTGCCTCCAAATTCTTCACTCTGAGTTCAACCCCCTCGCGGTGAGCTTCTGCTGCTGGCTTCTTCTCGGCCGCTGCTGGCTTCTTCTCGGCCGGGGCGGCTCCCTTCCTCTGTCGAGGTCCCTGCTCCTTGGAACCTACAATGTGAACATTGGCCGGGATTTTCTGGGCTTCTTTGTTTTCTGTTTGTTTGTTTTTTGAGACAGGGTTTCTCTGTACAACAGTCCTGGCTGTCCTGGATCTCACTCTGTAGACCAGGCTGGCCTCGAACTCACAGAGATTCACCTGCCTCTGCCTCCCCAGTGCTGGGATTAAAGGCCCAGCTGTGCCCTGCCCTGCTCTGCCCTGCCCCGCCCCCGGGTTGTTCGTTTGTTTTTAAGACAGGGATTTGCTATGTACCCTAGGCTAGCCTTAAATATCCTTTTACTAAATATCACTCCTAAGCACTGAGATTGCACCACCACAACCTAGCTGAATCCAGGCTTCTGCATTAACTAGTACCAGTCCGTTTCTACGGAGAGTACAGAGAGTGTGGGGTGCTACCACAACCCCACATCTATCTCTCTTCTTTAGAGACCAAGATCGGAGTGATTTTTTTCCCCAAAGCTCCTCACCTGACTTCTCGGCTTTATTGCTCTTCTGTTGATGGACCTGGAAACGCAGAAGCTGACACTGGGCATCCTGTCCAGCAGCAAGGATGTCACCAGCCAGTGCCAGGTTCATAGTGGCCCGTGTCTCCGTGTCATGAGAGTGCAGCAAGGAGGCGCTCAGACACCCATTGATCAGCTCTAGCTGCAGAAAGTGCTGAGGGGGAACCAAAACGAGCAAAGTTCAGGCGAGCCCGGAAGTCACATCGAGTCCCGGTCTCAGTCGTATTCCTTGGCTTCCCGCACCTCTAGCTCATGGGGTTTGTTGTTGTGAGAGCTTTGTGTTCTTACTGGAGCTTCCCCAATTCGTACAGCAAGCAGGGCTCAGATTACTAGGTCCAGTATACGGAAAGAAAGGAGTCCAGGCTCCAGCGGCTGGAAGGCAGTCAGGACAATGTGCCTTCCCGGAAAAGGGCAGAATAAGAGCCCTGGACCAGCTCCCGTGGTCCTGCGTGGTGGGCAGCCCTGCCTTCACAGACCCGCACAGCTTTCACTTTGTTTTGGGACGCCTCGACCACTCTTTCTCAGGTTGAAACCAGCACCCAGGCGTCTGCGCGGGGTTTTCCCACTAGAAATGGGCAGGGCCCAAAGCAGGGGTACAGTCCACCCCTGCATCCCCCCCCACCTTCCCACACCCCCGCCCCCGCCACTCCGGAATCGCCCCCGGCCACGGCATGACCTGTTCCCCGTAGCCCTGCGTTCTCACCACGCCATTCTTTATGCCGGTCTTGGCGGCGCCTCCTCCGCCCGCAGCGATGAGCAGCCCGGTCTTGGGGTCCACCCGGAGCGCGTACAACGGGAACGGGGCCCGGTAGAGCTCCACACCCCGGCGCCGGCCCATCCCGCACGCGCGTTCACTGCCGGTCCCGCGGAACCCAGGACATGCCGCGCCCCGCCTTCCACTGCTGCCGAGCTCGGTGCCGCCGTCGCCGGGAAGGCTGAGGACCCCCGCTCAGCCCCGCGGGCTTGCCACCACTCAAACCACCGCAGGTCTCTCCGATCTGCGCTCGCACAACTGTCTTGACTGTGCCTCGCAGACGCGCAGTGCGCAGGCGCCGCCCTCCTGGGGGCCTCGCTCCGCGCAAGCGCGGGACGCCAATCCGCGTCAGCACTAGAGCGAGCGGGACGTGCTGCCACGGAACCCTGGCATCGGATCCGGTTCCGAGCCCCGAATGACGGCGGATCTGCCATCTTTGTGTGGGGCGTGGGGCTGGAAGGGATTGCTGAAGATCAGTAAACCTTGAATTAAAAGGTTCTCGAATTGGGACGGTCCCCACTGCAGGAGGGATGCAGGGACTCGTAGAGGCCGGGACCTTTAATGTGTTACTCCGGAGAGGAAGTGGTTTCTCCCAGGGCACAGCGAGGGCAGGGACTCCAAAACAAAGCTGGCTTTAAATCAGATCCACCGCTTCCTAATATCCTAATATGAAGAAATCACCCCCCCCCCCCCGCTTTGATAGCATCCTCCGCAGCTGATTGGGCTCTTTCTCGTGGCTTGACACCCGCTTCTGGAACAGAGAAGTTAGGGGTGGCGGTTGCTCCTCGGCAGGTGCCTTCTGTGTTCTGTGCCTGGTACCTCACTCCCACTCCTTCTTAGAGTTGTTTTATTTTACTCTACCTCTGTCTCTCTTGTGCATGCATGCGTGGTGTGTGTGTGTGTGTGTGTGTGAGCGTGAGTGCGCGCGTGCTTCTTGCAGGTGCCCACTGAAACCAGAAGAGGGCGTTGGATTCCCTGGAACTGGGGTTACAGTTGTGAGCTGCTATGTGGGTGCTGGTAATTGAACCTGAATCCCCTGGAAGGGCAGCTAGTGCTCTTAACCACTCCAGCCATCTCTCCAGTTCCCCCCACCCCAACCCCGCACCTCGTCCTTCTGAGGGAGCCTTCTGGTCTGTGCATGGATTCCTGTGTTCCCCTGTGAATGAGTTACTAGCAGTGTCTTTAAAAGTGGGCTGCTGCGTGTCAACCCAGGCTATCCCCTGAGGAATGGGCCCAGTGGCCTAATCTCTGATTGCAATGATCTGTCCACAGACTTGAATGAAATCCGAGAAGGGCCTTGCAGAGGTCCCTAAGCACCTCAGGAACCGGGGTATATGGCACTTGGTGTCCTTGTCCAGCCTTGTTGGGGACTGGCCTTCTCCTTTAGCCATTGATCCCATCCTGTGAGCACAGTAGGACACAAACAAGGTTCTCAGGGTTAGTTAGGCTTTATTGGCTCCACTGAAGGCTGAATGAGGAGGGCCTTGGGTGCCTCTGGTCCTCTTCAACCAGGGGAGAGCAGGTTCCACAAGGGGTTCCCAGGGTTCAAGGCAGGAGAACACACCTGGCCTCCGTCCAGCCAGCCCTTCAAGGTGTTTCTGTGACTTCCCAAGGTCTGAGAAGTCCTGGTAGAGAGGGTGGGGTTTGAAGGGGGTGTTCCAGAGGGTCTCCGTTGCTCTGGAATTAAAATGGCAACTTTTGGGGAATAGATTCTGGAGACACAGACCTCCTTGGGACAGGACACGACCCGGGCTTTGGGGAGACAGTGACCCGTCTTGGTGCCTGAGGTGAAGACCTGAAACACTGGTTGGATTTTGTTGATTGGAGGCCTGCAGACCTGAGGCTCTCCTCCCGGGAGAGTGTGCCTGTGACTTGAGCTGCTGGTACCTGGGGTGCAGGCCTTTGGCTCCGGAGGACCTCTCTGGGACGCCTTGCTCCCTGCCGCTTTTTTTCTGGGAGCAGATGCAAGGCTTTGGCCTGGCGCGGAGGCAAGCGGAGGCTGAAGCCAATGCCTAAGCGGAGAGGCCCAGATTCCTGGCCCTCGGCACGGGGCAGTAGTTGAGGGAAGGCAAGCAGCCTCGGCTCAGTCTTGTGCTTGGGGGTGGGGCAAGACGGGGTGCGGGGCTGGAGGCACGCTAGACAAATGGGGTACTCCACGACTGGAGGCTGGCCGGTTGTGCCTAGCCAGAGGTGCTGCAGAAACAGTATCTTCAGGTCTCGGGCAATTCTGCGGCGCCCCACAAGGAGCGCTAGCGCTTGGGCGAGGGCCTCTGGGTCCTGGAATTCTGCAGGGTCCAACTTGCTTGCCATGCATCCCTCTGCCGCCCCAGGGGACCTGGTGTTTCCGGATGGAGGCCCCTGCCATGTTTGTTTGTGACTGGGAATCCCTGGAGAAGGTACGCTGGGGCTGGGGGAAGTGACCCTGGTGGAATTGGGAAGGTCCTGGAGGTGGGAAGGAGACTGGCAAGAGCCAGGAGAGGAATTCTGCAGCTGGGAAAGAGAAGAGGAGCTGCTAAGGGGAGGAGAGAGGCACAGCCCGTAGTTGCGGGGAGAGGATGTGTGCGGAGAGGGGAGACGAGAGCAGTTTTGGCCAAAGAAAGTGGGGGGACTTGGGAGAGAGGAAGAGGAGGGAAGAGGGACAAAGTCAGAGTTGGAGTCCGAAGAGTATAAGTGAGACCCAGGAGAGCGGGACTGGGGCGACGAGGAGACGGGGGAATAGGCCTGTGAGGGAGAGGGCAAAGGTAGGTGGGAAGGAGGGAGGGTCAGATGGGGAGAGAGAGGCGCTAAGTTGGATGGACGGGAGTCCACAAATTGTGAGAGGACCTGAGGGGAACACCCTGGGGGCACTGCGTTCTGTAACGGCACCTGGTGGTCCTTGTTTTGAGGCAACATTGCCTCGAATCCGGGAAAAAAAAGTGGGTGGGGCAACAAGACCAGTGAGTAGAGACCTAACAGAGTCAGTGTGGGGATCTCTGAGGCCAGTTGTGGCTGGTGATCAGCAGCGTGGCTGCTGCTTAGTTTTGCTGCGGGCGTCAGCAGCAGGCCAAGGGAGCACGACGCCTCTTCCGCTTGACTCTGACGTGCTCCGCCCGGAGCCTGCCTCTAAGCTTGGCTCTTCAATTTTTCTTTGCCATTCGCCAGGGACGTAGGGAAATGGGGAATGAGAGCTGTCCCTTGGGAGCCAAGGGACAACTGCAACTACGTGGGTAGAATCCGGAGGAAGACACAGTCCGGAGGACCTGCAGAGAAAAAGACAGAGGTCAAGACAGTGGAAGGGTTGGTCCACTTCTGGACTCGGCTTCAAGTGCACGGTGCCAGTGTGAACGCATCAAGCCCCTAGGTGTGAGATCTCTGGGTGTGGCTCAGCCTAGCATGCATAAAGTCCTGGGGTTGATCCCCAACACCACATAGTCGTGGCATGCTGGCACGAGCCTCTAATCCCAGCAGGGACACAAGGAGATCAAGGCCAGCCTAGGTTACGTGAATCTGTCTCAAAATAACAACAAAGACACTAGCTGTGTGTCACCTTTGAGGTCAGAAAACCTGGCAAGATGCTCTAGAGAAGGTGAAGAAGTGGAGGAGATTGGAAAGATAGAGCATAGGATAGCGTCAAAAGAGGCGGCTTAGGGCGTAGGGACCAAGACGGGAAAGGAATGGAGAATACTGGGCAGTGACTTTTACCAACGTGGATTCCTTCCGCTGTTTCCAAAGACACTTCTTCAAATAGGGGACCTGGGAGAGAAAGCAGAGTCACACAACAGTCCATCTACCCCCTCTGCCTCCAGCCTCTGACCCCTTAAACAGACTCTGACCCACAATTCCAGTCTGAGTGGTACCCTCCGTCCTTTTTTTTTCAACCAGAGCTCTTCTGTGGAACAGGGTTTTGCCCTTCTAACCCTGACACACAGACTTTGTAAGCATCCTGATTTCCTGGCATACTGGCTCCCCTGGCCTCTTGTCACCCTTCAGAGTGGTGTCCCTCTCGCTCAGCCTGGCCTTGGCTGAGATGATTGTCAGACCCAGGGGCAGCAACAGTAGGGTCAGCTGGTAAAAGGCTCCAAGAGACGGAAGCTTTGCCTAAGGGGCGGCGTTGCCGCCCCCAGTGGGAGCTGAGGGGCTCATTCCCTGGAAGCAGTGCTCTGTGGCATCATAGGTCACAGAGGTCAGATAATGACATCATAGATTCTGTCCTCCCCTCCCCCAATGCTCTGGATCTCCACCCCCTCTCTCCCTCCCTCCCCCTCTCGATCTCCTCTCCCCCTTCTCTCCTCTCCTCTTCTCTTCTCTCTCTCCTCTCCCCCTTCTCTCTCTCTCTCTCTCCTTTCTCCTCTCTTTTGCTTTTGTTTTTTGAGACAGGGTTTCTTTTTGTAGCCCTGGCTGTCCTAGAACTAGCTCTGTAGACCAGGCTGACCTCCAAGTCACAGAGATCCACCTGACCTCCAACTCACAGAGATCCACCTGTCTCTGCCTCCCAAGTGCTGGGATTAAAGGCGTGTGCCGCCACCGCCACCACCCAGCTGTTTTGGTATAATTATCAAGTAGACAGAATTGTCGGATGCAGACCCATGAACCTAGCTCCACCTCTAATGCTCATGATCACTCCCCAGGGGGCTAAGCCTTCCAGCTTCCTCCTTGGCTTGCTTTCTAAGGAAAGCTGTCTTCCATACTCTTCCATCCTTGGAATATTATATGTTTTAATAGCTGTTTTTGAATATTTTGTTTATTTAGATGTATGTGTTTCTGTCTGTGTGTATCATATGCGTTCATGTGCTTGTGAAAACCCGAAGAGGGTGTTGGATCCCCCTAGAGCTAGAGTTTTAGACAGTTGTGAGTTGCCTGACATGGGTGCTGGGAACTGAATTCCAGGTCCTCTGCAAGAGCAGCCAGTGCTCTTAACTGCTGAGCATCAATTCAGCCCATAGCTGTTTTCTTTTCTTATTATCTTATTAAATTGTTTATTTATTTACTTCTTTTATGTGCATTGGGGTTTTGCCTGCACATGTGTCTGTGTGGGGATGTCAAAATCCTGGAACTGGAGTTACAGACCGTTGTGAGCTGCCGTGTGGGTGCTGGGAGTCGAACCCAGGTCCTCCGGGAGAGCAGCCAGTGCTCTTAACCACAGAGTCATCTCTCCAGCCTAGCTGTTTTCTGAACACTGTATGTGTGTGTTCATGTGTGTATACACATGTGTGTGAGTTAATGTACACATGTGTGTATGCATGTGGAAGCTAGAGATTGCTCTCGGGTGTCTGTCTAGTTACTTTTCTGCGTTAGTTTTTGAGACAGGAGCTCTCACTGGGCCTGGGATTTGTCAGTTCATTTCCTTCATCTAGGCAACCTAGCCAGTGAATCGAGTGACCTGCCTGCCTGTCTTTGCCCCACCCCTGCTGAGTTCTGGGGATCCAACTCAGGGTCCCATGCTTGCAAAGCAAACACATTATCATTTGAGCTAACTCCCCAGCCAATTTTACATATTCTTTTTCTGTGCTTATAGATGCTTTATATTCAAATCTTTGGCCCATCGTTTAATTGGTTTTTGTTACTGAATTTATTTTTATTTTTGTGAGCCACCATGTGGTTGCTGGAGCTCTGGAAGAGCAGCCAGTGCTCTTAACCGCTGGGCCATCTCTCCAGCCTGCCCTGTTTTTATTTTTAAATTTTTATGTGTGTGAGTGTTTACTTGCATGCCTGGTGCCCTCAGAGGCTAGAAGAGGCATCGGAGCCCTTGTGACTGGATGTACAGATGGTTGTGAGCCTCCATGTGGGTGCTGGGAATTGAACCCAGGTCGTCTGGAAGAGCAGCCAGTGTTCCTGACTGCTGAGGCATCTCTCCAGCTCTTGTGCATGGGCACTCACAGGACATAGCACACACGTGGAAGTCAAAGGACAAATTGATTCCCTCCTTCCACCATGTAGGTCCTGGGAATCAAACTTGATTCACAGCAAATGTGTTTACCTGCTGAGCCGTCTTGCTGGCCCCAATATCTATTATTGTCTCTCTCTCTCTCTCTTTTTTTTTTTTTTTTGGTGCCCTGAAGCATTTTCACCCCAAATAATGCACCATAATAAAATTAAGAATGAGTAAGAGGCCTGGCTTATGTAAAGTTGGGGAAGGGGAGGCTGGGGAGATGGTAAAATGATTGTTGGACAAGCATGAAGACCTGAGTTGGGATTGCCCAGCACCCACATAAAAGCTGGGCATGGAGGCTCACGTCTCTAAGGCCCCAGCACTGGGGAGCAAAGACAAGTGAATCCTGGAGGCTTGCCGGCCAGCCGCCCTAGCTGAAATGGTGAACTCCAGGTTTAGTAAGAAACTCAATAAATAGGTTGGACTGCAGTAGATGCAAACACCCGACACGGACCTCTGACCTCCGCATGCGCACAAGGGCAAATGCACCCTCTCCTCCATGCTTCTCCTCCGGACACACACATGCACACAATGGGAGAAGGGCACTTATAAAAGGATGTGTTTTAGGAAGGAAGGACTATAGAGGTTGAGGCCTCACCACCAGGACTGGCAAGCGTTGACTTTCTTCAGCACAAAACCCCACAAAATCCCAGACAAACCTGGCAATTTGGTTACTCTACTATTTGAGTCTTTCTGGAAAGCGTTCATGTTCTAGGGATATGAGGACCATCATTTGAAGATGGTTTATATTATAATATTTGCTGTCTTTTGATATTCATAATGAGCCCCAGTCAACCGTACATGAATTTATGCTACCATGATGTCTGTTGGTGGACCCATAGTCACCATAATGACGGGAGCTTATATTCAGAAGAACCAACCAGGTAGTTAGAAGGATGCAAATTTCAGCCCTATTTACTGACCTTGAGGGAGGAGAGAGGAACTGAATTAAGTCACCAATGGCCAATAGTGTAATCGCTGTGCCTATATGATGATAGGAAAAAGAAAAAAACTAAACAATAGGGTTCAATGAACTTCTGGGTTGGCGGTCTCATGGAGATACTAGATGGATGGTGTGCCCAGAGAGGGCAAGGAAGCTTTACATCCCTCACCCTTCACCCTCCACCTTACCTTGCCCTCCATGTCTCTTCTCTTTGGCTATTCCTGGGTTCTATTCTATCCTTTATGACAAAGGAGAAAGTCTAAGAAAGCCTGAGTTCGGTGAGCCGCTCTATTGATTTATTAGACTGACAGGGGAAGCATGGGAACCTCTGATTCACAGCCAGTTATTTAGAAGTACAGGTGGCGCAGGACTCAACATTATAATCTGACAATGCTTTGGGGTCAGTCCCTTTGACCTATGGGAGCCAGTGTGAACATACCCAGGTGCAGGATGCTAGAATTTCACTGAATTGTTGGACACCCAGTTAGTTTCAGAAATGTCAAAAGAAACAAAAATTCTCACCATGAGAGTGAAGAATGACTAGGAAACTCCGGTTCACACCGACCCCGCATCTCTTATTTTGTGTTAATTACTGTTTGTAAAATATTGTTGAGCACGGCAGGCGGTAGCAGCGCACGCCTTTGATCCCAGCCCTCGGGAGGCGACAGCAGGCGGATCTCTCTGAGTTCTTGGCCAGTCTGATTTACAAAGTGAGTTCCAGGACAGACAGGGAGGTTACACAGAGAAACTCTGTCTCAAAAAAAAAAAATAATAATAATTCATTAAAAAAAAATGTTGAGCAAGTGGAAGGAAGTCCTCTAAGCATTTGGCATCCAGGTTGCGATGTGTTGTTTTAGTTTGCTGGCCGTTTCCTGTCGTAGATGTTATCTGCCACTTACTCTTCCCACCCAAATTCCTCCAACTCCAGGCTTAAGAACATCATGTTCTATTGCTTCTAAACGTTCTACTCGGAAACCTGCAAATAGTTGTTGAGAGGATGGATGAATAAGCTAATTGTCGCTGGCCAAGAGAGTTTGACCCGGCCGCCGCCTTTCCTTCCCTTTTATATCTTGTTTTTATGTGTATGAGAGGGAGAGTGAGGCGCTCACGTGCTACGCTGTGCGTGTGGTCAAAGGGCAGCTTTCAGGAGCTGGTCATCATGTTCCACCTCTTCCCCTCCCAAAGTCCCTACGTGTTTGTGACTGAGCCCAGTCAACTTACTCTTGCAGGGCAGATAAACACCACCTCAGGTTCTTCATCAGACATGCCCAAATCTCCCGAGGTGAAGACTTTCAGCTCTACCTGGGAGGATTGCTTGTTGAGAATTGACATAAACCATGGTCCCATGATGTGTGAACCCTTACAGACCCGGCCTGGCTGTCCTCCAGTGTCAACTCTTGTAGAGATTCCTTATTTTCTTACCAGTTTCCATCAGAATCCTTTGATGAACTTTTGTGTTCGTTTCTTAGCCAGAAATCACTTGATTCTGAAACTGCTTTGAGAAGACACAGTGAAAAACCAACTCAAGTGTACAGCCCACTGTAGCAGAGGAAAGAATAGCCTATCTTAGTGTTTTGTTTTGTGTTGTTTTGTTTTTCAAGACAGGGTTTCTCTGTGTAGCCCTGATGGTCCTGAAACTCACTCTCTAGACCAGGCTGGCCTCCAACTCATAGAGATCCGCCTGCCTCTGCCTCCTGAGTGCTGGACTTAAAGGCGTGGGACACCATGCCTGGCCAGGGCTTCTTTATTGTTCCATTTCATAGTGAAAAGTGGGTGGGGGGCACAGTGTGGGGGATTGGGGAGAGAGAGCACATGAGTGCACACAAGACAAGGTTTTCATGAAAACATTCACGTGGGGCTCTGGAGAGATGGCTCAGTGAGTAAGAGGAATTGCCACTTGTCTTAGTCAGGGTCACTATCGCTGTGGAGAAACCATGACCAAAAGCAACTTGGGAGGCTTTATTTACCTTACATTTCCACACCACTTTCATCATTGAAAGAAATCAGGGCAGGAACCTGGAGGCAGGATGCAGAGGCCATGGAGGAATGTTCTCATGACTCATTCAGCCTTCTTTCTTATAGAACCCAGGCCCACCAGCCCAGGGATGGCCCCAACCACAGTGGGCTGGGCCCTCCCCATCAATCACTAATTAAGAAAGTGTCCTACAGGCTTGTCTGCAGACAGATCTCATGGAGGCGTGTTCTCAACTGAGGTTCCCTCCTCCCAGATGACTATGGCTTGTATCAAGTTGACCTCAAACTAGCCAGCACACTGCTCCTGCAGAGGACCTGAGTTCACAATGCTCCTGCAGAGGACCTGAGTTCAGGTCCTAGCACCCACATTGGGCAACTCAACAACCTGCTGTAATACCGGGGGACCGTTGCCCTTCACCAGTACCTGCACTTACAGTACATACTTACACATAGACACATAGCTAAAATAAAATAAACCTTAATAAATAAATAAAACTCCAGTGGCAATGGCATCGATCCATTTACTTATTTACTTTTTTATTTTCGTGAAAGAGTTGCAGTTTATTAGAAGACCTTCTTGGCCTAGGCCTTAAGAATGAAGGTTAAGGGAAAGAGACGCACTCAGGAGAAAGACGCAGCCAAGAACATGTGTGGACTTCTCAAAGAGAAATCATCTTCAAGCCTTTGTTGTTGTTGGTAGCAGGGTCTCGTGCAGACCATGGTCTTGAACTCCTTAGGTAGCTGTTGATGGCCTTGAACTTTCGATCTTCCAGCTGACATATCCTGACATCAGAGGTTGCAGAAATACACCACAGCTCCCTGTTTATGAGGTGCTGGAGATCAACCCAGGGCTTCGTGTGTTTTAGGCAAGCATCCCGCCAACTGAGCTATGTCCCGAGCCTTGACATTCATACATGTGTAAGGGCAGAACCCCATGACCTAATCACCACTCACAAGTCCTACCATGCCATACTTCTGTGCTGGAGATGAAGGTTCATAAACTTTGGGGGACAAATTCAACCCACAGTGGTGGCGGCATCTGAACTTTCACATTTGGGGATTAGAAATGTGCACTTGGCCATCCCAGCGAAACCACACCCCATCGATGATAAATGGACAGTCAAAGGGATTATTGTACCAGCACAGAGGGCAACATGTCTGGCATCATTTTGTCTTCACACTCTCAGGAGGTCAGTGCAACAGCCTCTTACTGTTCAATTTACACTCTAGGGGGCTAGCCATGCAAGGCTGAAGCAGAACCTAGAGGAAAACCTTCCGTCTCACAGAAGTGACAGCAGAGCTGAGCGGTGGTGGCGCACACCTTTAATCCCAGCACTCGGGAGGCAGAGGCAGGTGGATCTCTGTGAGTTCGAGGCCAACCTAGTCTACAGAGTGAGTTCCAGGACAGGCTCCAAAGCTACACAGAGAAATCCTGTCTCGAAAAACAAAACAAAACAAAACAAAAGTGACAGCGGAAGCCATAAAGCCCAACACTGATTTGCTGGACCAGTACCAGCCTGAAGTAAGAAGCATGTTTGAGGAGTGGGGAGTCCTGCCTCATCCCATGTTCTTGCCCATCTCCCGCTTGTGTGCTCTATGACGCCTACTGGGAGCACTATGGCAGAATCTGCCCTACTGTGTCCATATTCTGGAGAGCAGGGCTGAGACAAGGTTCTCACCGAGAACGTCCTCCAAGAGCACCTCCAGAGAGTGCCAGCTCAGCAGAGAGAACCAAGCCCAGCATGACCTGAGCTGCACCCTCAGAGGATGGACAGCATGCAAAGCCCTTCAAGTCCAGCTCTCCAAGAGCCCTGGTGCCTTCTCTGCTGCCTGCAGGAACATTTGTATGAGATATTGGGATGCTAGAAGTGGCTCCTGCACCTGCCGGCGGCGTGGGAACCACAACTGTCCATCAGTCTCTCTTCTTCACTGTGTCTTTGAAGATGCTGTATTCTTCACTTTGTCTCTCTCTCCTTCCTTGCTCTTTGTTTTCTTCTTCTTCTTCTTCTTCTTCTTCTTCTTCTTCTTCTTCTTCTTCTTCTTCTTCTTCTTCTTCTTCCTCTTCTCCTCCTCCTCCTCCTCCTCCTCCTCTTCCTCCTCCTCCTCCTCTTCCTTTTTTGTGGGGAAGAGACTCCTAGGCTGTCCTTAAACACACTGTGTAGCCCAGGCTGGCCTCAAAATTGAGGCAATCTTCTGCTTGCTCTTTCTGTCTGCCTTCCTTCCTTCCTTCCTTCCTTCCTTCCTTCCTTCCTTCTTTCCTTTCTTTAAACAGAGCATCACACTCTATAGCCCAGCCTGGCCCCAAACTTGAGGTGATCCTGCCTTAGCCTCCCAAGTGACTCCCCTCTCTGTCTCTCTCTCTTTCTGTAGGTCTGTCTCTGCCTGCTCTCTCTGTCTCTCTCTGTCTCTCTCTCTCTCGCTCGCTCTTGCTCTCGCTCTGTGTGTGTGTGTGTGTGTGTGTGTGTGTGTGTGTGTGTGTGTGTACTATGAATCATACTCAAGGCCTCATGCACTCTAAGCAAACACGGTCACATTGCACATCTCCTCAGCCTGTGACATTGTTTTTCACTGGGTAGCTCCTCCACTGAGGGTATGTCTCTGAGTTAGAAGTCTGCGAGGCAGCAGGTTCACATGACTGATTTTGCACCTCCCAAGGACTGAGCACTGACAGAAGAGGAGCCTTTTGGAGGTATCCAGGCCACTGACTTGAGAACATACTTAGGTACAGAGTCTCTTTCCATGCAACTATAGTATGGCTTCAATACTTTTTCCTCCCTACACTGTGTCCTTAAAGTCAGTGAATCCTACCAGGATTGGCAAAGATGGGGTGAGACCTCTCTCCTTCCCTGATGGGTGAATTCCCGCACAGAGAAAGGATTCCTGTGTGCTCAGGGCTGTTGTGGCCTCTCTGTAAATCTAGTCTCAACTCTGGCCCTTCTAAAGGGCTCTGAATGGATGCCTCTGGAAGAAGGCCTTTCTGAGAGAGAAGATTGTACTGAAAGCTAAGAACTTTCCCTTCTTCCCTTGGGTATCTCTAGCTTCACTACTGCCTAGATTTGACATTGTACTGTAATCCCAGCAGCACTTGGGAGACTGAGGCAGGAGGACTGCTGTGTGTTCAAGAGCCAGCCTGGGCTATGTACCAAGTTTCTGGCCATCCAAGATTATATAGCATAACATCATCACAAACAAAGTAAAAAATACAACAGTCAAGTTATGTCGTCTCCCCACACCACAGTTCACCCCACTTGAAACTAGTCTGGTTTTCAGAAGGCTTTCTGGAGATTCACTGGCCAGCTGGCCCAGCCTAATCAGCAAGCCTGGGTCCCAGCGAGAGACTATCTGAACATGCATGTGGGAAAAGGTGTAATTATATTTTAATGAAACAATTTTACATATATGTGCACACAGATACATACACACATGCACACACACCATATATACACACACACACCACACAAACCACATACACACACCACACACACACACACACCACATACACACACCACACACACCACACATACACACACACACACTACATATACACACCACACACACACCACACACAAACCACATACACACACACACACCACATACACACACCACACACAAACCACACATACACACCACATGCACATACCACACATACACATACACATACACACACCACACCACATGCACACCACACACACCACACATACACACACACACACCACATACACACACCACACACAAACCACACATACCACATGCACATACCACACATACACATACACACACACACCACACTACACACACACACACACACACACACACACACACACACACACACACACAGCATCTCTTTGCTTTATCGTTGCTTTGGAGAATAAGACATCCATACAAAGTGCAGAGGCACAGTGCAGGGCGTCTCCCGAGCTAGGAACATCAAAGCGTTGTTAGGATACTAACCAGGTTGGGGTCCTGCCAATCAAACAGGGATACGGGCTGGCCGTGGGGCAGGGTTAAAGTCCTCCTAAGTGAAGGGCAGCACCCCAAAGATGGCATCCTTCCCCTGGAATCTTGGGGAGAAAGCACCAAGTTGGAACTGGGAAGCCTGTCCGAGGAGTAGGGAGTAGCGCCTCGTCACACGTTTTTGGTGGGAGGAAGACAGGCCATTGTGAGATATATAGTGTCAGTCTCTGACGAAAGGGCTGGAGATCCAGAGCCCCAGACTATGGAGGTGAGCCCCAAACATGAAGTGGTAGATCCATCAGTGGATTGCTCTGTTAGGGTCAGTCACGGCATGGAAGGGCACTCTCTTCTTCCCCATCTCCTGGCCTTCTTAGCATGGGCCTTGTCCTAAGGCTTGGCCACGCCCAGCGTGCAGCACCCCCACCTCTCAGCTAGGATGGGAGGCAGGCGGAGGCTGTTTGCGGGGGCCGTGCCGGGTGGGCAGTTTTCCCAGAGCGAGGAGTGAAGGAGTACGGAGTTGGTGCCGGCTTCTTCAGATACAGACCGCTGGCTGCATGTGCCAGCCTGTCCAGGCTAGCTTGAGCCCAAGGGCTCCTTCGGGCTCTGTGCTACTGCTCTAGGGCTACAGTCCCATACCCCAAGAGAGTGGCATGTCACAGGAGGCCACAGGGGTACCAGCAATGCCAAGAGCAGGGCTCGGCCAGACTAAGGCCAAAGCACGGTTGCTTCTAGGCACTGACGGGAAGAGGAGCCGCCTCAGCAGGACGAGGCGGGACCTATGGGACGACACTAGCTGGAGCAATCAGAGACTGAACAGAGCCACCTCCGGCCCTCGAGGGACCAGAGCTAAGGGAACAGCTCATGGCAGGGTAAGGACCCTCTGGACTAGAGAAGGGAGCTGGGGAAGGAAGGGTTTGGAAGGCAGTGAGATGCCTCCTCGGAGGGCAGAGCCTCAATCCATATTTGGTGGTTCTGCCCAAGAGCAGGAGGCTGGCTCCTTAGACCCATGGTGCCATGCTGGAGGTGGGCAGGACAGGTCAGAGAACTGATCTATCTATTTTCTACTGAGAAACTCAGTCCTAGAGGAGGGGTGTGAATTGCCTAACGTCCCTAGGCAGCAGCCAGGGGCAGGAGACCTAGACTGAGTTTCTTGCTATTTATTTATTATTTTTTTTTATTTTATTTTATTTTTGAGTAAGAGTCTTCTGGAGCCCAGGCTGAGCCTCAAACTTCCTCTGCAGGCTAGAACTTGGGACTCCTGATCCTTTTGCCTCCACATTCCAAGTGCTCGGAGTATGCGTGAGCACACCCCGTTTATGCCATGGTAGGGATTGAACCCTGGGCCTCATGAGTGCTAGGCAAGCAGTCTACCAACTGAGCTACATCCCCAGCCCGGGACTGTGTCTTTTGACCTTTGGTCATTCCCTCTTTACCATGGCAACCTCTTCATCTCAGTACCTAGTTGGGTCAAAGTTCAGCTAAGCTGGGGCAAGGCTCTATTCTATCCTTCCTGTGGCCCCCAGGGTACCCTGATGAGCAGGATCCAGACTAGGGAGTGGAAGGGAGTGGGACGGATGTTAATGGAACAGTAGAAAAAACATGGGACTCTTGGGTTCTGAGTCAGGTATTGCCACCTTCCTGTCATCTGAGCCCAGGCAGGCCTTCAGTCATGTGTATGATGGGGCACAGCTTAAAACCAGGGAGTCCCATCGGCTCCAGAAGATAACATGGCACCACGGTGCCCTTAGAAGTCAGAGTCAACCAGGCATGGTGATGTACCCCTATAATCCCAGCCCTTGGGAGGTAGAAGCAGGAGGATCCCAAACTCAAAGGTCATCCTGGGCTACACTGGGTGTTCGGGTCCAGCCTGGGCTACATGAGAAACTCTGTCCCAACAGTAGCAGCAATAGCAAGAGGCCCGGGTTGCCTGGGAATCTGGGTCAGACCCACTCATGGGGGCCCTTTCTGCAGAGCGAAGCCAGCCCCGAGAACGCGGCACGGGAGCGGACCCGGGTGAGGACCCTGCGCCAGGCCTTTTTGGCCCTGCAGGCTGCCCTGCCGGCCGTACCACCTGACACTAAGCTTTCCAAGTTGGATGTGCTGGTGCTGGCCACCAGCTACATAGCCCACCTCACCCGAACGCTCGGCCACGAGTTACCTGGCCCTGCCTGGCCGCCCTTCCTGCGTGGACTCCGGTACTTACACCCCCTCAAGGTAGGTCACTGGCCATGGGAAGGGGGGGGGTCATTCTCTTCCTGTTCTCTCAGGAGGGCTGAGGCTGGCTCTTGGGATGGAGCGGTGACTGGGAGCGTCTGCATCTGGAGGAGGGAAACACTCTGAGATTCTTAGTGTGGGGGGGGGGGGGGCGTGGGGGGGGAGAGGAGCGGGTGCCTGGTCTAAGGCCCAGAACCCAGGAGAGTCATCCATCTCCAAGGAGCTTCACCCCCTCGAGTAGCGCTTGCCTTTCTCTCTCTGACTACTGTTGCTGTAGACATCTGCTCTCTGGGGGAAAAACATCCTAAAACCACAGTGCTCGAGAAAGCGACCAGATAGGAAGGCAAGCCGTGTGTGTTGGAGGGCTTCCAGCGTGCACCACGCCAAACCGTTACCCAGTGTTCTCCCGAACCTCAGCTTGAGAACGTGCAAGGCAGGAGCAAGCAAGGAGCCGGCCATCTCTGTTGGAGTACAGAATGAATGAAAAGTCTAATTCACGCTAATTACGAACGGAAAGGATGGTTAACAATAACCACACAGCAGTACCAGCCGCTAGGACGGGGTGCTAAAGAGAAGCTGGAGGCCGAGCTGAGCGCTCTAGAGCGTTCTTCTCTCTTGACCCTACAAGAACCAAAGGAAGATTTACAGATGGGGAGACACAGGACAGGGAGGGCAAGGGTTCGAACTGAACCCGGGTTTCTGACCACAGACCTCTCCCTCTCGGCCACCATCAAAGACCCCAAGGTGCTTCACAGGGACCTGTGTAGAGAGTATGCAGTAAGCCAGGTATGGTGGGCCACACTTGTAGTCCCAGGACTCAGGAAACTGAGGCAGGAGGATTGCAAGTTCCAGGTCAGTCTGGCAATGTAGCAAGACTCTGTCTTAAAATTAAAAAAAAAAAGCAAACAAAAAAGAGCTCACAGTATCATAAAGGAGGAAGGGTGACTTTGCTCTCTAAAGAAATCTTTTTTTTTTTTTAGACAAGATGTCATGTATTCCAAGCTGGCCTCAAACTCGTTCTACCTCTGCTTAGGATATCTGGCATATTGATACATATTTAGGGTTGCTGTCATATTGCATATTGCACTATACATTCCCACCTCATAAGCAGGAGCAGGGAGCAGGGCATGCGACTCTTCTCCAGCCCCTTATAAGAGGTCACGTACAATGGCAGGAAGCATCACCTGTGTAGCCCAAGGTCATGGGCAGAGCAAATACCACTACAAATAAGTATGTTAGAGAGCGAACCGAGGAGAGGAAAGGAGAGCCTAGGTCTAGAACTCTGACAGATTAAAGTACAGAGGTACTGAGCCCCCTAGGGGGAATGATAGGGAGAACAGACTAAGCAGAGTAATCCTTACATGTTTGTTTGTTTGTTTGTTTATCAAGACAAGGTTTCTCTGTCCCTCGAGGCTGGCCTCGAACTCACAGACACTCCTCTGCCTCTGTCTCCTGAGTGCTGAGATTAAAGGTGTATTCCACCACTGCCCAGCTATCCTTGCATTTTCTAAAACCACCCTTGTTCCTGGTGAAAAGACTTTGAAACCCTTGCAGGATGTGAGCTGAAGAGCTCCATCCTCACCCTCTCCTACCTCTCACACTGCTCTGCCTGGCGCACCTGCCTACCACTCCCCCAACCAAGTCTTATTCCTCTTCAGGTCCTTGCTGCCCTCCATGGGCTCCTCCTGTGCCTCTGCCAGGCAGTAGGGAGACGGTTTAAAGCTGTGATATTCGGGGGAGACACATCAAACAGGAGATGCCAGATTGGAGGTCTTAATGGTTCTGGGTGCTTCAGGACCACAGTCGCTGTGTTAATCATTCCCCTTCTTACGTCTTTTCAGAAGTGGCCCATGCGATCTCGTCTTTACGCAGGAGGCTTGGGATGCTCTGGCCTCGATTCCACCACAGCCATTGCTGCCAGCCAAAGAACCAGGGATGAAGAGGTGGGGTCCCAGGTCTCTGTAGCCACAGATGTTCTCCTTCTCGCCAACCCAGTATCTCCAGCTCCTGGTAACAAATGGCCAGCACACTCTTAGACTGTGACTCTCACTGAAGGACCTGGGTTTTTCTGCCACCTCTACCTGTCTTTCCCCCTGACTCTCAGCCTTTGGAATTGACTCAGGCTCCACTCTCAAGTTCAGGCTCAGCTTCTGGCAGGCAGGAAGAAGCAATGGTGACGTCGATGGTAGAGAGTTCCCAGGGAACCCAGGACGAAGATCTTCTTCACCTTTGACTCTTAGGAGGGGACATTCCTGACAGGAAGCGAAAGAGCAAAGTGTTGGACGTGGTTCAAAGTCAAGTTAGGGTATCACCCTCCCCTGTCCTCCCTAGGCCTCTTCACACAGCAAGAAAACAGAAGTTACTCTGCTGGCATAGTCGGGACAGGCTAGGATGGCGGCAGCCCCAGGTGCTCATGGGTATATCGGGGAACACGAAGGGCTTTTGGGAGCAGTAAGTGTGAACACATCTAGGTCACAAAGCCAGAGAGGAAACTGAAGAATGGAATGTGATTTTTTCCCCCAAGACAGGGTTTCTCTGTGTAGCTTTGGAGCCTTTTCTGGAACTCATTCTGTAGCCCAGGCTGGCCTTGAACTCACAGAGATCCGCCTGCCTCTGCCTCCTGAGTGCTGGGATTCAAGGCGTGCACCACCATCACCCAGAATGATTTTTTTTAATTGCCCTACAAGGTGCTTATCCAACATCAAAGAGGAAGAGGAAAGTTCAGGGTCCGTGTCCCTGGATTATGGTCTCTCCAGCTGCACCCCCCCCCCCCCCATCACCACATCCTCCCACCAGGGCTCTGCACCCTTTCATACTTTCCTAGCATGAGCTCTGTCTAGAGATAAAGCCACCGCACTGACATGGCTTACATTCCAGGGGAACTTAGCTAGTCCCAGCTGTCTAGGAGGAGATCGTTTTAGCCCAAAACCATCTATCTCTACTTTCACTCCATGAGGCAGCCACTCCCAGCCCTGCCTACAAAGGACATTGATGCACTCAGCTATCTCCTTGATCGATGCACTCAGCTATCTCCTTGAAGGGCCTAAAACGAGGCGTGTGTATCTTTCTCATGGGGTGACAACCACAGCGTTCACTTCTGTTATGTCACAAATGTCAGCTTTAGTATGTTCTCTATGCCGCCATCAACTGGGGCTTCGTTGGGTTTGGTATAATCCATACAGTTCTAGAAATCAGCTCCTAAGGCCAACTTCTCCCCCACAGACATTGACACCCCAAGTCCTGGTACAGGGTGCCAAAAATTTACTAGAGCTTGAGTGACACTTGTCCTTGGCCCTGAAGAAATCATTGGAGGACAAAGCATGCCATGAGATGAGCCTTCCAAGTCAGGTATGGTTTCAGATCGGCCCCTGAGGTCCAGACGTGGAAGATCAGCCTTCCCGTCAAATTTCAGCAGCCGAGACCAATTAGAGTCCCAGCGGGGTGACCGTGAGTGGAGTGGAGGCTTGGAAGGGACTGGGTCTGCTCCTCCATAGGGCTGCCCAGGGCATCCGGGGAAAGGGGGTTAAGGGGGTGACTCAGAGAGCTGGGGTGGAAGACACAGAACGTCCCAGCCTGAGCTGCATGGGCTGTGGGAGAGCAGCTGGGCTGTGGCTGGGAGCCATTGCAGAAGGCCTCAGCCAAGGCCAAATGCATAAATCTGCCTGGTCCCACATTTCTGCTGAGAGACCCTGAGAATTTGTACAGTGCTGATGCAGGCAGCTGGACGGGACCAGGCAGGGGCAGAGACCAGGTGTGGGAGAGCAAGAGCAGTATTCTTCACAAGACCATAAAAGTCCATCCTGGGTGTTCTATTTTTAAAACCAGATAGCATCTCCCTGGTTGAGTTGGAGGGTGGTAAAAAGACATGTGCATGATTTCCTCCCAGTCAGTGGCATATGATCGGTCTCTGGACCGGCAGGGGTCTGGCTTTGGGTACATGCTGGGAGTCTCCTCCCAGCCCGGAGCATCTCCCGATGATTGGGTAGAGTTTGATTTAGAGCTTGCAGGATTCACCCTGTCCAGACTCAAGCTTTTGTCTCATTTTGACAAACCACTCAGGGCTGAACACATACCCCCACCCTAGTGGAGAAGACAAAGAGGATGAAGTTGGTAGAGGATTGGGTTAAGAAGAACAAGTCCATCAGGAGGAGTTGTTTTTTGTTGTTGTTGTTTTTGACATGGTTCACCGTGTAGCCCAGGCTGGCTTTGAACTTGAAATCCTTCTGCCACAGCAAGGAAAATGAACTTACAGGCCTGTATCTTCCTGCCCAACTAGGACATGTTTCTAAGGTTGCTTTCAAGGAATGTGCTTTTCTTTTCTTTTTTTTTTCTCTTTTTTTTGAGACATGGTTTCTCTGTGTAGCTTTGGAGCCTGTCCTGGAACTCACGTTGTAGACCAGGCTAGCCTCGAACTCACAGAAATCCGCCTGCCTCTCCCTCTTGAGTGCTGGGATTAAAGGCATTCACTACCACCCCCTGTGGAATACGGTTTTCTTAGTGACCAGGACAGTCACTGGGCACAGTGACCCCTGGGAGCCAGAGGAGCTGGCAGTGGGGAGGGGAGCCTAGGGAAGAGCCAGGGCATGACTGGGACCTCACCCTCCCTAACAAGCACAGGGAAGCATCACTCTGGGGACTGGAGTCTGTAAGCCAAGCAGAAGCAGGAATGAACCCTTTGTTCCCACAGTGGAGGAAGAAAAGTACGGGCTGGCTGGGAGACCTCCGCTCATCAGTGCTGGGGACATGGCAGATATGAGCAGTTAGAGGTTGTCGAAGGAGCTGGAGTCCGTCTCCGGCAAGAGCTGTTCCCTGGGCACAAGCGTGTGCAGAGGAATACACACAAGTTAAGGAGCCTGGGTAACAAGTGGTGTGAGTGTGTAAGGAGCTTAAGCGGTGTGAATGTGTAAGGAGCACAAGCGGTGTGAGTGTGTAAGGAGCACAAGCGGTGTGAGCGTGCCCTTGTCCAGGCGTCAGTGGGATGGCTTGGCCCGGAAGCCATCTAGTCCATTCAGTTTTCTTCCAGTCCCTCTCAGGGTGTGGTGCAGGCAGAGTGGTGAGGAAGACTTCGCTGCATGTGCTGCGAGAGATCACGACGGAGGCTCAGATGGAGTTATGGAAAGGCAGAGCTTGTCAGGCCCAGCTAAGGGTTATGGTGGCCATGGAGCTCACCAAACTGGGAATGAGTGATGGTTACTCTTGACGGACAGCCTGACCGGATTGAGAGATGACTGGGAGTCAGTAACGTGTGCCTCTCGGTCTGTCTGTGATGACTTTTACCTACTGAATGGCTTAGTCCATTGATGGATTCAAAATACACTATGGATAAGCCCGGCATGGTGGCACACGCCTTTCATCCTAGCACTTGGAAGGCAGAGACACGAGGATCTCTGTGAGATGGAGACCAGTCAGGCCAACCAGTGAGACCGTCTCAAAAACAAAATTAGACTATTGAGCCAGGTGTCAGTGGTGGTGTACATCTTTAATCCCAACACTCGGGAGGCAGAGACAGGAGGATCTCTGAGTTCAAGACCCGCCTGGTCTACAGAGCAAGTTTCAGGATGGCCAGGGCTACACAGAGAAACCTTGTCTTGAAAAACAGAAACAAAACAAAAATTAAGACTGTTGGGTGGTGGCGGAATTGTGGACAGGCTGGAGGATGTAGGTCACTGGGGCTGTGTGCCTGGGGATAGATGTCGTGCCTGGCCTCTCCCAGTCCCTTCTACACTCCTGCCTCTGTCTGCCGTGAGAGAAAGAGCCTCCCCTTCCACACTCCCGATACCATGATCTTCTGCCCTCACCCCACGAGGCCAAAAAGCCATGGACTGAACTCTCCGAAACTTTGGACCCAAATAAACCTTTCCTACTTTACGTTGTCTCTCTCTGGAATTCGGTCACAGCAACGTGAACACTAGTGGAGAGTAAGGTCTAGGTGTTTTCTACAAAATAGTCCTCTTCCTTCTTCTAGGAAGAGCCTGGCTAGGATGAATTAGATCGCACCAGCTTCTCACTTTCCTAGTACAAGCCCTGGAAGCATATTCTAATCTAGATCAGGTCTGGGCAAACCAGAGCCAGTGGGCCAAACCCAGCTTCTACATGTTTGTTAAAATAAAGTTTTATTGGGACAGCCCTACATACTTGTTAATATTATTATGGTTGCTTTACTCATACCAAGTTAAAGAGCTGAGATAGTCACTGAAAATCCCAGAACATTTGCTGTCTAGAATAGATAGAACATTTCTTTTTTTTCTTTCTTTTTTAATAACTTTCTATTATTTTATGTGCATTGGTGTTTTGCCTACATGTAGGTCTGTGTGAGGGTGCCAGATCCCCTAGGACAGGAGTTACAGACAGTTGTGAGCTGCCATGTGGGTGTTGGGAATTGAACCCTGGTCCTCTGGAAGATCAGCGGGTGCTCTTAACCTCTGAGCCATCTCTCCAGCCCTAGATAGAGCATTTCTCACCCTTGCTCTGCTCATAATTCAAAAGCATCATGGGTATTCCGAGCATATCTGGGAATCCTGGGTAGTCTAAATGACCAAGACTATTTTCATAATGTACATACATATATTACATAATATCCAAGATGCACTGACTGTTCTTCCAGAGGACCCAAGTTTGATCCCAGCACCTACATGGTGGCTCACAACCACCTGTAACTCCAGTTTCAGGGGGTCCAACACCATTTTCTGTCTCTATGAGCACTGCGTGTACATGGTGCACAGACATAATTACAGGCAAGACACCATATGCATAAAATTTTTTAAAAATGAATAAAATTTAAAAATAAACATCCCTAGCCTGGTGGTGGTGGTGACACACGCCTTTAATCCCAGCACTCGGGAGGCAGAGGCAGGTGGATCTCTGTGAGTTCGAGGCCAGCCTGGTCTACAGAGTGAGATCCAGGACAGGCACCAAAACTACACAGAGAAACCCTGTCTCGAAAAACCATAAAAAAAAATAAAATAAAACCCCCAAACAAAATAAGAAAACTAAAGGAGAAATAAATTAGCATTAAAGAAAAAGAATACTAGATGCTACAGGCCTCATCCCTCTCTTCCTTCCGGTCCTCTTCTCTCCCTTTCCTTATTTGTATTATTTACATTTGTGTTTGCGCATGCCATGGCGCACACATGGAGTCAGAGGACAACGCATGAAGAGTTGGTTCTCTTCCCACCAAATGAACACCGGGGTTGAACTTGGGTGAGTGTGGTGGCAAGAGCCCCCCCCCCCCCGGCCCCCACTGAGCCAGCCCACCAGCCCTCTTTCCTGCTGTTGTTGAGACCGGTTGTCCCTAAATAGCACAGGTCAGCCTTAACTCGGCAAGGTGCTCTGGACTCGTTCTTTTTACCACATCCGTCCTAAGCATGTCCCACTGAATGACCCAAAACCGTCCACCCCACCTCTCGGGAATGTGGGTGTGGTGTTCTCTAGATTGCTTCCTGCTGTCTGGGGGCATCGACATCTCTAGGGGACCCTGATCAAATTGAAATAATGGTCCGAGTCCTGGGGGAGCTAGTCGAATCTTTTGTTGTCTCCTCTCTGAGGAACGGGAAAGTGCGGGGCTTATCTGAAGTCCTGGCTGGAGTAGTACATGAGGTTGGACCATCTTAGCTAGCCACCTTGAAATTGTCCTGAGCAGTTTGTAGTCCAAGGCTGATCTTTGAGCAGTGTTTGTCAGCTTAGCGGTGTTACGACAATCCAAGTGGAATCGTTTCCGTGGGGCCCCATCATCCTTTCGGAGACCTCAAAGGTCACTGTCAGGTATGGTCACGGTTCACGGCATAAAACTTAAATATTTTAAATGTCATATGCAGCAGATCTCAGAGAGGTTAAAGGACCATAAATTGTTAAGTACATCCGGGGTACACAAACTTAATTCCTAATTATATATCAATATAAAAATTGATAGAGACTCAAGCCCAAAATCATGTGCAGGAAGCTAGATTAAACCTTTTTCTAGAATTAGTACTCTATATGACCACAGAAATGAGACTGAGAAAAGCCCCAAACTGGAAACTGTTGGTTTTCTAGGTCCCTCAGGTTGTGGGATTCTGAAAATCAGCTTTAACAGTGAGTAATTTGTTAGACTTTACCAGTAGAGGGCACGACAGGAAGCCATGGACCAGAGGAGAAGGGCAGGCTGCCAAACTGCCATGGTGTTGACAGGTGTTTATCCCCAGCAGCTGCACCTGACTCAAGTTTCCAGCTTTTTCTCACTCTCAGAGTCAACTTCTATTGCACCCCTTCAAGATGCTAGCACCCTGAGTGTGATAGTACACCCTGTAATTACAGCACCTGGGAACCTGAGGCGGAAGCATGGTGACTTCAGGGTCTGCCTGACTCAAAATAAATACACGAACAGGGTTTGGGTTGTAGCTCAGTTGGTAAACGCTTGCCTACTGTATATAAAGCTCTGGGTTCAATCCCCAACACCACATACACCAGGTATAGCAGCGCACATCTATAACACCAGTACCCAGGAGGTAGAGGCAGGGGGATCAGAAGGTCCTCTTTGGCTATATGGTGAGTTCAAGGCCATGTAGGCTATGTGAAACCTCGCCTCAAAAATAAATAAAAATAAGGTCAATGAGATGGCTCAGCAGATAAAGGCCCGTGCAGGGAAAGCCTGGAGCCTCTCCTTTCACCTAAAGATGGATGAGAGAATCAACCTCACAAAGTTGTCCTCTGACCTCCACATGTCTGCTATGGCTTGAGTACACTGCCATCATGTACACATCACACACACACACACACACACACACACACACACACACACACACACACATACACACACACACACAAAATAAATATATACATTGATTTAAAAGTAGTTACTTTTTTATGCCCCCAACTGGACTCCTAAGTGATAAGACAGCCAAAGTGACATTCTATGGGCATCTGACCTGCCTCCTAACCAATAATATATCGAATAGCATCTTTTCTTCTTCTTCTTTTTTTAATTTGTTAGTACTGTCCTTTTAAAGAGGAAAACTGGCTGAGTGTGGTGTCCTACGCCTTTAACCTCAGCACTCAGGAGGTAGAGGCAGGAGGATCTCTGTGAGTTCAAAGACATCTTGGTTTATAAATCGAGCTCCAGACAGTCAGGGCTACAAAGTGAGGCCCTGTTAAAACCAAAACCAGAACCAGGGGAAAATGTAGTGCCGTAATGAAAATGCAGATCCACACAGCTCTGGCTAGTTGACTTTTCACTTGGTATTGGCATGGTTCCAGAAACAAACCCGGGCCTCTGAGAGCAGAGCATCATGGATGTGATCTCTGGCATGGAAATAACTAGAGGTACATGTCTGTATGCACACTCTCCGCAGAACAGCTCCCCTCTTGCCAACGAAGACACACGAACAAAATGTCAGCCAGGCAGTGGTGGCACACGCCTTTAATCTCAGCACTCAGGCGGCAGACGCAAGTGGATCTCTTAGCTTGAGGCCAGCCTGGTCTACACAGGGAGTTCCAGAATAGCCAGGGCTACAAAGAAACATCCTTGTAAAAGCTGCTTCTTTAATCAGGATGTGATCATGTGTGTGGAGATTGTCCCAGCCAACTTACCAGAAAGTTATGCAATTTTCAGGGAAAATCATATACCATGAAAGGTTGTTTTAGAGGGTGGGAGAGAGGATGGACTTGCCTTCATAGTGGATGGCATATCATCTTCCTCACCCAGTTAAGTACATCTCTCCAAACTCATCATCATTATAATCTGTGTCCAAATAAAGCAGAAGACAAGCTGCTTATTTTAAAATCTATTTTTATCTACACTCAGAGTCAAACTGTTTTCTCAAGCTTCGCCTGAGGTATAAATAAAGCCTTGGCTGTGCCAGCCTTTGGGTTCTGCTAGAGACACTAGTCAGGGCAAAAATGGATAGATGCTTCTTCATCTCATTTCAGATAGCATGCTTTTTATTACTCCAGTTGTATTCCATGATCCAGTCTTGATTTTTAAAAATGTAGGGCGCTGGAAAAAGGGCTCAGTGGTTAAGAGTACATGCTGCTTTTCCAGAGGACCCTGGTTCGATTCTCAGCACCCACATGGCAGCTCACAGCTGTCTGTAACTCTGGTTCCAGGGAACCTGATGCCTTCTTCTGGCCTCCCGGGGCACCGGACACACAGAAAGATGTACAGGCAAAACATCCATCCACATAAAATAAAAATAAAAATTTTTGAGTTATCTGGGCAGTGGTGGTGCACACCTTTAATCCCAGCACTCAGGAGGCAGCGTCAAGTGGATCTCTGTGAGTTCGAAGCCACCCTGGTCTACAGAGTGAGTTCCAGGACAACCAGAGCTACACAAAGAATCCCTGTCTTGAAAAACAAACAAAATTCAATTAAAAATAAATGTCAATTGTGGAACCCATCAAAATTCTTAAAGGCCCCCAGAAACCCCATTCACACTGGAGACTGATCCCCCAAATTAAGACGATGTTGGGCTTTGTTCTTTATGGCCCTGGGTTGGCAGAGGATTGTGGCAGAGATAACTCCTCCTGGAAGCCTGGACAAAGAGTATAAACTCAGGAAAGATGCACTTGGCCAGTCCCCTTGGATCCTCTTGAAGATGGAACAGGAACCCCCCACTAATTGTTATGCTGTGTTACCTCACAGCACCAAAGCCATGGAGAAGCTAGGCATGGTGGTACATGCCTTTAATCAAGACCAGCTTGGCGGGCATAGTAAGTACCAGGCCAGCAAAACAAAACAACAAAAACCAAACCAAACAAACAAAAATAAAAAACATGGAGAGGAGTTACCCTGACAGACTCTTCAGTCTTGCGTGCTCCTGCCCTGGGCAGCCTCCTTCCCTGTCCTTTCCCAACCAGCCAGGGCTCACAACTTTTCAGCGTCCATCTACAGTGAAATACAACTATCTTCTCTTTTCTGGTGTGTTTTCTTGGCCTCTAAGGAACCCCAGAAGCCTGTTTTGAATGACTCAAGACCAGGTGTAGTGGCACAAGCATTTTTAGTTCCAGCACTCTGGAGACAGAGGCAGGCAGATTTCTGAGTTCAAGACCA